TTCTTCTTCTTCTTCTTCTTCTCTCTCTCTCTCTCTCTCTCTCTCTCTCTCTCTCTCTCTCTCCCCCCCCTCTCTCCCTCTCTCTCTCCCTCTCTTTCTCTCTCTCTCAATTTGTGGGCTTTATTTTGTGTTGTTTTAGACAGAATTTCCTTACATAGTCCAGGCTGGCTTCAAACTTAAGATCCTCCTGCCTCAGCCTCCTGCTCGGGCTGCAGCCCTTGTGCTGTATGTTGAGTTAAGCAACCCTATTTGAGCTGTCGCTATCCCACTGAACTCAGGAAAAGCCCTTAGAATAAAGAGCTATGCTCTCTACCCTGAATTTACCGTCCAACTTTGGTTCTACCACACATAGGAATGGCCTTTCCCGCTCTATCTAGAGTGACTGTATAACCAGCTCACATAAGACCCTGACTTAGGTGCGTTGTTCCTGACGTTAATCACTCCCATTCTCAGAAGTGTGTCCCCTCCCGGTGATAGATTTTTTCTTTCTTTCTTCTACGTGGCTATGCTAATCAAAAGAAGGGGAGGGAATGAGCTTGTCTAACCGTGGGTCCCTCTCCTTCTGCCGTCACAGCTCCACCTGGCAGCCCTGGCATCCCTCAAGGGAGACATAGTAGAGCTGAATAAACGTCTGCAGCAAACAGAGCGGGAACGAGACCTTCTGGAAAAGAAGTTGGCCAAGGCGCAGGTAAGGGACCTGGATGGGTGTTTTGTTTGTCTAACTTCTTTGTTTAACAGTAAGTGTGTGTGTGTCTGTGGAAATTTTAACAAAACAAATGTGAATTTGATGAGCAAAGGTTCTAGGTGGGTTACTAAAAACAAAACAAAACAGCAAAACAAAATAAACCCCAGTATAGATTATCTGGCTTCAACAGTTAACATATTTCCATGTTATGGATGCTGGACATCATGCCTTTGGTTTTTAGTGAGCCTAGCTCCCACACTGGGTCCCGAAATGGTGGAAAGAGCAAAGCTATCCCTCATTTCTCATTTCTCTATGTATCAGGGCACTAATCCTATTCTCAAGGGCTCCACTCTCTTTAATCATTTCCCCCAAGTCCCACCTCCACCCACTGTCACATTGGAAACCTAGCCATATCCAGCACTTGGGGGTTGGATACAAATGCAGTTCATAGCATCCTCACACCCACTGCACACAGTCGGGGAACAGAATCTGCCTGCCCCTCCACACCTCCTTCTGTCCAGTCTAAGCTCTACACTTCCCTTCCTATAAAGTTAACCTCCGGGATGACTTTCCTGCTAATAGCTGGTTCTTACTTCTTTACAGTTTACCACTCAAGTTTGCATCCGTAGATGGAAGGGTTTAATCTTTTTTTTAATAAAAAAATCATTTTATTCTAATGAACTCGCATGAAATCAAGATACAGCTGGTTTAAGGCAGCTACTCAAGCACTTTCCCAGTCTCAAACTCCAATGTCTCAGCGAACTTCTATATAGCTAGAATGGCCATTGTAAAAGCTATGGTTTTACTCTTCCAATATTAATTATGTTTTTATTCACTTATCCACCACATGGAAAATCTATGATAGAGCTGAGATGAGAAAGAAATTACTTTATATCCCCTTTCATCATTTATGTGCCTTTGGCCTGCATTCTGTCCTTCCTTGCCACATCATATTACCTTCTGTTCTGTTTCCATTCTAAATGTTCTCTCTCTCTCTCTCTTTCTCTCTCTCTCTCTCTCTCTCTCTCTCTCTCTCTCTCTCTCTCTCTCACACACACACACACACACACACACACACACACACACACACCTGCTTATCTATATTCATGTATTAGAGGTTAGGCTCTACATTTGAGGGAGAACATGTGGATTTTTTTCTACATTTGGATGACCTTGATTAATATAATTTTCAAGTTTATCCATTTTCCTACAAATTTCATTTTTCTTTACAGCAGAATACTATTACAGTTTGATCTCACTCATTTAAAAAAATAGGCATTTCCTTTAAATACTTGGAATATAAAGATTTATTCTCCAGGCCTAGTTTGCTTTTTAGTAATGATTTCTAAGCTTGGCCATTTTGCACCTAGTTAACCACACCTATTGGTGACTGCACACTCATGGTAGAGTTCAACCCTTCCTGCCTCTCCTGCCATCCAGAGGTGAGGTCAGATTCACATCCACTCCCCTTGGTAAAGCTGTACAATGTATCCTGTCACGAGCAAACACATAGTATCCTACCCCGTGGCTGGTCTTTCTTAGATGTTAGCAGCTGTTGATATGAAGTGTCGAGTCTAGTGGTTCTCAACCTTCCTAATGCTGTGACCCTTTAACACAGTTCCTCGTGTTGTGGTGACCCCCCCCCAACCATAAAATTACTTCATTGCTACTTCATAACTGTAATTTTGCTACTGTTATGAATCATCATGTAAATATCTGATGTGCAAGATAGCTGCTATGTGACCCCTGTGAAAGGGTTGTTCGATCCCACAAAGGGGTCACGACTCACCCACAGGTTGAGAACTGCTGGTCTGGGTGTATTACTTCATTAGGACTTGAAACTCGTGACATTTTAGTTGAATTATCCCAAGGTTACTGCGGGAGATGCTTTTGCTGGGAAATTCCCCGGCTGCGGTTTGTTCAAACGGGATGCATTTCAAAGGGTAAACATGAAACAAGCACCTGAATCCTGCTATTTATTTAACCTTTGTCAGGAGGAGGCACTGATTCGCCACGATGCTCTAAAAGTGCTCTCTTGTTTTTTAACATTATTAAGAATTAATGCATTTAAATATATTTGAATTTCAATCCATTGTAATTATTGTCCTTATAAAAGCTCCAGTGGGTACTATTTTTAGCCAGGTAGAGCCTCGGGTTCCTTATGAGTCTCATGCATGTACTGAACAGTCACTCCAGACATCCAGAGTACATTTCATATCCCCCAAAGCTAGAAGTGGCTACCCTTGAAACAACTGCAGTATTTCTCAGCAGGCAGGATTTCCAGACCATTGTCTGGGTACTCAGGATGCTTGTTGCTTCTAGGTTGCTTATTGTATAGGGCCTCTTTTGTGGATAGAATCAGAAAGCTATTTTTATTAACCAATGTGGATGTGTATATATTTAATTATGTGTAAAGTGGAAGATAAAATGTCTTGGGAACTCATGTTCGTCCCTCCATTGCAAATTCAAACTGTGCCATGTGCTTGCTTAAGTCCTGTTTTTAAATCCCACTTGTTTCAGCTATGGCGGATATTAGAATGTCCTATAACCATTCATTTGCTCTGTTCCCCATTACATACAAACAGTCACAGAATAACAGTCCCACTATAGCTAACATAGTTATTGAGAAATTCTTCAAATGCGTTCTCTTTAAGTTATGTAGGCATTTGGAGGTAATATTCCCCAGGATTTTTATATCAGTGTCCTCCAATTTATAATTAGATCCCTTTGAGTAGACTCATGGAAATAATTCTCCCAAAGTTCTTGAGTACCGATAACGGTATATATGTACCTCTGGAGTCAGTTTGTTAGACTTGAGGCCTCCTTGAAGGCGCTGATGTCTTGCTGTGTCAAGCATGGGAAGCTGCTGTGTCATGTGATGGGGACACACCTTCCTTATGTTCTCAAAACTCTTACTCTATCCAGATCAGTGGTTCTCAACCTGTGGGTTGCGACCCCCTTGAGGGTCGCATATCACATATGCTGCCTATCATATATTTGCATTATAATTCATAACAGTAGCAAAATTACAGTTACGAAGCAGCAACAAAATAATGTTATGGTTGGGGGGTCACCGCGACGTGAGGAATTGCATTAAAGGGTCACAGCATCAGGAAGGGTGAGAAACACTAATCTAGATATTCACAGGGTTCTTTCCTTTCATCTTTTTCTTTCCTTCCTTTTGTAGTTTTGCTAGATTTAGTCTTCATCCTTTTTGTTTGAGAACCTCATGTTTGCTGTGTATTCTTTTGATTATATTTGAGTTGGGAAGTGTTGTTTTTTGATTGTGTGTATGGATGTTTTGCCTGCATGTATGTATGTATGTGCCCTGAGTACATGCCCAGCCCCTGAGGTGGCCAGCAGAGAGTGTTAGAACCCCTGGGGCTAGAGTTGCAAATGGTTGTAAGCAGCTATGTGGTGCTGGGAATAGATCCCTGGCCTCTGGCAGAGCAGCCAGTGCTCTTAACAACTGAGCCATCTCTCCAATTTGATTTGGGGGAAGTTTATAATAAATGATGTATCTTACTATTAGTTTTATTTCCTGGCTTAGATTTCCTCATTGTTTGTATATTGTTTCCTCTTTGCCCATCTTTAGTTATTTCATTGTCTCGAGACCTTTGTATGTCCTTTTTAATGTATTTTGTCTCTGTTTTCTATTCCTCTTTTGTGCTTCTTGGCTTAGTATCCATTCCTAAAATCGCATTTTTATTTCTCATTCTGTGCTGAGCTCTGTCACCTCATTTCTGACTTTTTCTGATTGTGAATTGTGTTCATTTATGCCTCACACCTGTTTCTTAAATATTTCAGTGATTTTTAAAACAAGCTATTGCTTGTTTTTTCTCTGTGTGTTGGGGGGGATTAACTCATTGTGTAGTGTATTTTATAGTTAATGGGAAGAATATTGGGCTGCCTTTTTTCTTGTACAGGATTTGACCTCAATATTTTTCTAGGTTTGGCTTTGATGTGATGTGAAAGCATATTTTCCTTGGACTTTCATTTATTTGCTTACTTTGAAAGACTTATTTTAATTGTGTGTGTGTGTGTGTGTGTGTGTGTGTGTGTGTGTGTGTGTGGTGCATGTACACACACAGGTTAGCAGAGGGTGTCAGATCCCCGGAGGCTGGAGTTACAGGTAGTTACAAGCTTCCTGATGTAGGGGCTGGGGACCAAAGTGGGCTCTTTTGCAATAGCAGTCCATGCTTGTAACTGCTGAGCCGTCTCTACACCCCTCCTTGAATAAGGAATGGGGGTTCAAAGCGATTTAAGATCGTAGCACGTATGACAGCCCCTTCTTGACCTTCCTGGTTCTGTGTGTGTTTCATTTACGTCTGGATCTTTTCTTTTCCTCTATCATCTCCATCCCGATCTGTTTGGATGCTGCCCTGAGGTTTTTCTTGCTCTAGACGGGAACCCTGGGAACCAGTCTTTACAGTTCCCAGGGGCAAGACCGCCTTGGTCCTACATATCTTATGATGGGCCTTTCCCACCTCACACCTTGGCATCAGCACAGTCCTCCTGGGTTTACCTGTTTTTTCCAGTTGGCCATCAGGCTTTTTCTGTGAACACCCACTGGAATTTTTCACTCATCAGAGTCACTCTTGATTCTGATATGCCAACACAGACACCACTCGGATCTACCAGAGGCATTGGTTCATTCTTACCTGCTTGTATCTTGTTTTCAAAGAGACACTATGTTCAAACTTTTAAACTGCTGTGTAAATATATGCTCACTTTATTTTTTTTTTATTTTTTTTTTTTTTTGGTTTTTCGAGACAGGGTTTCTCTGTGTAGCTTTGCGCCTTTCCTGGAGCTCACTTGGTAGCCCAGGCTGGCCTCGAACTCACAGAGATCCGCCTGACTCTGCCTCCCAAGTGCTGGGATTAAAGGCGTGCGCCACCAACGCCCGGCTTCACTTTATTTTTTTTTAATGTGGTAATTCAAAGCAATAAAAAAAAACCTACCAGGGTTATTTTTAAAAAGCAATTTTAAAATTTCAACTTGTC